CTGTCTGAATATGCTGCCATTGTTGTTCAAGGAAGGAGTACAGCAAAGGCGACTCCAGATACGTCGCCAGGGACACGGCCACCATCACCGTCGAAGGGGTCACGGCCGTGCTGGAAGGCCCTGCTTCGGTGCTTGCAGTGTATGTCTTGTCATCCTGCATATTCAGACAGTGCGACCTAATCGAGGGCCTTCTTATGCAGAATTGTGTTGTAGAGTCTGATTCCGTAGAGTGTCATGCGATGTACTGATATCTGGACTGCATATTTCTGATTCTGGGTCACTCTCTGTAGTTACCTTCTGCCTTCAAACTGGTAGTGAAGTTCAGTTGTCAAACATGGTTCTGCAATGGTGTTAAGGCTTACGCCCTTGCTTTCACTCTGCTTTCACTCAGATGAAAGACTGACCTCCACAACAGAGCATTAACTTCTAAATTGACATTCATGAATGTTTATAATTTGGTATTGAACATTACTGTTGTATTCACATGTTAAGAGGCTGGATCGATAACATAATGCAATGCGCACGTATTGCAAAATTCGTTAATAAATGAGGTGTTTTTCCATGTTGCTACCTTGTGGATACGTTTGCTAGCTTTGAATGAACACACATCATGATGTTTTGAGTGTTTTCGACTATATCTAAACAGGATACAAGCCCTGTCAACTTAGTATTCCTATTAATATAAGTATGTTCGTTTTACAGATTGATGTTCTTCCCAGACAATAGTTATATTCAATAAATCTAGAATAAATGTTTGGTAATTAACTGTGTAAACAGAGAATCTAGTTCCTTTTTAAAAAAATTTCTCACAAACTAAATCGATTCCACTACAAAGCATAGAAACACAACTACACAAGGCAGTAGCACTATTTGTAGTGAACTTTCCAGAGGTCTGGCGAATATCAGCTTGACGCCTGTAGTGAAATATTTCAGCAGGAACTTATTTCTAGTTAAGTATTCCAGTAGTAACTTAATTGTAAAAACGGCAAGCTCAGTTTCTTCGTGCCTAGTAGAAGTCCGTAGCCCACATAGGTAGTATGAAATTTTAGTCAACGGCTGTTATAAATTTTTTTATGTATCTTTTATCTTATCTTACCACAAGTTTGGTGCTTGTAGCTATGCTATCGCATCTCGGAGGTCCTACAACCATATCCTCCAGTTTGCTGTATGTCTGGGTCAGCTCTATGGATGCTCGGTCTACTTCATTACTGCCTACTTGGATGGCTTCAACTTCTGGGCCAGTTCATTCTAGTTCTGGGCATATTTCATCGGCGCGAACAGTTCATGGGTCGTGATACCAACACTCATCGCGACAAGGAGCTGGAAGAAGATCTGCACAGCAATTCATCAAAGCGAAAAGGTGAAAACTAAGTAAAGCCTGCCATAGTCAGGGTTTGATTGCAACCAGGACATGCTGCACTATGGCAAATATAGTTTGCTTGCAACACTGAAATTGTTGTTTTGTTACTAGAAATCTGGTTGTGCAACTCAATCTACTATGTAATACTTGATTGTGTTTCTCTATCAATTTTTTTTAGAAAAGTAGGAGGGCTAACGCCCCCCCGGTTCCATTATTAATAACGAAACCAGAGTTTGCAGGAAACAGCAGCTTGCGGGAGTGCAAGTTCAGCAAAGCAAGAAAGGCAAAAACAGGTGTACAAAATTACAGTCCCAGGCCAGCAAATGAGCTATTACAGTGGGCAATCCAGACTCAGGCTGGGATTCCCAGTGCGGCGCAGCTGTCTTGCTTGGCTTCCTCCAGTGGCTGTGAGATCTTCATCTCCCACACACCAGCAGTCGCAGCTCCAGGGCGCCTGATCTTTTTTGCTGGTTGGGCAGGGGAGCCCAGGAGGTCCAACGGCGTCACAGGGCTCTATTTGTTGCTACTTATTTGCATTAAATGAAAAGGTTGTGCCACCACGAAAGCCCTTCCTTTCATAGTGTGTATATAACATAATGTCTGTTTTCGTCTTTCAGCAAACAGAATTTTGAAGCCAATTCTGGTGTGATGAATGATAATACTTGTGAAGGTGATGATTACATTGATTATTTTGTATATACAGTTTATATTTCTCTCATGAACCCTGTACCCTTGTTTTTTTATTGTTATTGGGTTCTCTGATTTAGCGATTCCTGTTAATCCGGTTGGGCACCACCCTTGATGTGATAACAAGTTGAAATACCAAAATCTTATGTATGGTTAGTTCAAAAATAGAAAGTTTTGGTTGGGAAAGCAGGAAAAGCCAAGTCGTAGCCCATGGAACGTCACGAGCTGCTGATGCCAAGATCATCTCCAATGGTGACGACACCACTCTGTGCCTCCTGTGCTGGAGTCAAAACATGCAGACACAACTATGAGAAGCACACCATTTCGAAACACTTGCTACAAATGGATGAAGAGGATCATCGGTGAAGTCCTACAAATCCACCGCTGCAGACTACAGAATTGAGAGGGAATTCTTTCATGTAGAATATTTGGATCCTTCATCATAACTTTGATTGTCATCGCTTCATTAATCTCTTGTTAATTCCGCTAACTAACCAGAGTAATGAGACAAACATAACACATCTCATGTTTAATCTCTTAACAACTCTCTCCTCTAGACATTTATTTCGTTTTTCCACTAATGGCCTAACGCTTTGTTGAGAAAATTGACCATTTTTAGTGGGGATTGACCATTTTCTAGTGATTGCATAGAATGACACGAGTCGTCGATGCTAACAAGTGTGTGCATTATATACTGAGATGCAGGGCTTAGCAAAGGTTCAAGCCAGGTTTGATGGGAACACAAACAAACATTTAATGATACTACCAAGTTGCCAGGTTTGATAAGAAAGTACACTTGCATTTTACTCTATCTCTGGCACTGCCCATTTGCATTTTACTCTAATCTCTTTTCATGCATTTAATGTTACTACCAAGTTGGAAAGTAAAGTCACGTTAAAGTCAGTGGTTTTATGAAGTTTACAAGCCCAAACTCACATAGACTCCACACTGAATTCGCACATGCTTTGTTCCAAGTGTTGGTATCAGACATGAAACTCTTAACCACTCCCATAATAATTACTCAATTTCTAACATCTTCGTATTAACATAGGAAAATTACACGCACATACTTGGAAAAAAGGGTCTCTGATCCATTCTTATTTGTTTTTTCGTGTTATTGCCGCCCTGCCCTACAAAATGTAGACGTCATTATTTACTTTTCCTTGCATTTGTTGCCAATCCTCCACAACTGGGTCATGATATAATACTACTTAGTTAATGTTTGTTCTGCTACTTGTGCTTTTTGATGCTTAGCTCATGTTGGTACTAATCTGCGTGTAGTGGTTTCAAATAAATAGATGACAAAAGAATATATAGCTTGCATCACTACAATACATATCCAGTAGTTATATGAATAAACTACAGGAACAGCACTACTTGTATATACGGATACAACAACGGGAGGAAAAATAGCTTACAGTGATCTGTTTATCATTCTTGCTTGCAGTTCTAATTCGAAAAGATCTAAAAAAGGTAAAATTTTGAAAAAGACTGATGTATGGTAGATCATGCAAATATTAGTGTTGGTCGCCCCCTTGTTGCAAACTAACTAAGTTATAATATGTTCCCGAGGAACCCTTTGACATGAGGGACGAGTGTGTGCCCTTTTCCACAATAATTCCTTTGTCAAGCACGGCAATAAGGTCACAGTTTTGGATTGTGCTGAGCCTGTGTGCCACGACCAAACTTGTCCTGCTGACCATCACTCTCTCAAGTGCTTCCTGTACAACCTTTTCGGACTGGCTGTCCAATGCACTTGTAGCCTCATCCAGTAGCAAGATTACTGGGTTCTTCAAGATGGCACGGGCCACTGCAATGCGTTGCTTCTGCCCTCCTGAGAGCTGAACACCTCTCTCGCCACACCATGTACCATATCCATCCGCGAGGTTGCTGATGAATTCGTGTGCATTCGCAGACCTTGCGGCATTCTCAATTTCGTCCTCACTTGTCGTTTCTATGCCATACACAATGTTCTCCCGGATTGTTCCTGCAAATAGTGTTGGCTCCTGGCTGACCAGGCCAATGTGCCGCCGCAGGGCTTGAAGATTATATGTTTTGATGTCCCTGCCATCAATTTTCACCATTCCCCTTAGAGGGTCATAGAATCGCTCTATAAGTGCAATGATGGTTGACTTTCCAGAGCCACTTTGCCCAACCAGTGCTGTTGACTTGCCTGGTTGGATGCTTAATGAGAATCCTTTGAAGATGATCACATTTGGCCTTGAAGGGTATGCAAAGTCGACTTCTGTGATGTCCACCTCACCTTTGAGCTTCTCCGGCTTGTATCCCTCGGGGTTGTCTGGGTCAATGGTTGTTACCCGGTCAAGGATAGCAAATACTGAAGCAACTGCATCAGCACCCTTAGCTAGGTCTGTTGTCATGCTACCTGCATCAGCAATCACACGCCCTGTGCTTATCAGAATCATGTAGGTCTGAAGGAGTTCGTTGGTGGCAATGCGGTGCTCAGCCATGAGCCTGCCACCATACCAGAAGGCTAGGGCCCATGTGCATGTCATCAGGCCCATGGAAGTGCCAAGGCCGAGTCCGGCAATCCATGATTGACGGATGCTTTCCTTCCGCGGTCCATTCTGTGCATGGTTGAAGAGGCCTAAGATGCGCTCTTGGGATGAGAAGGCCGTTATGGTACGGAGGTTGGAGACGGACTCAGCAGCTAGCTTGCTACTTTCGGATTGTGCCTGTATTGACTTCTTGGACATTCTCTTCAATAAGACACTACGAGCATAGAAGCAGACGATGATGAGAGGCTGCGCTGCTATCATGACAAGGGCCAGACGCCAGGCAATGACCAGACCCAGGGTGCAAGCGATAAGCACAGAAGATATTGTCTGGGTCACCAGCGCCATCCGGTCACCCACTAGAGACCTCACCTATGCAAAAAAGAGCATATTATGCTAGGTTAGCTGGATAAATTTCCTTTCATGTATCAACATGCTTAATTTTGTTGTCTTCTACTTACAACGTTGGCATCCTTGGCAAGCTGTGAGCATATGGCACCACTGGAGTTCTCATCGCGGTCGAACCATCCGATCTCGAAAGTGAGGATTTTCCTGAGCATCTGTTCCCTGACCCTCTTGGTGAGGTATTCTCCCATGGCACAGAAGTTGTAATGTTGTCCAATATTGAGCAAGAACGAGAGCACCGCAAGAGCGATGAAGGTGAGTGCATACTTTCTTGTTTTGTCCTTGATCTCGTCGTGATCTGTCAAGAAATAGACCGATATCATGTTTCCCATGGCGTATGCATAAGCAGGTTGGATGCCTCCATACACAACTGCACTCAAGCTTCCCATAAGCGCCTGCCTCCACTCTGGTGCGTTAAGCATGAGCAGCCTTCTGAAGGATGGCGGAGGAAGCTTTGGCTCCTCAATGCTGTCAGCATTACCTACTGACCCGTCTGAACTGGACCTGCTAGCCAAGGAGAATCTCCTGCTGATGTCGTGGCTGCTGGACTGCCTCACAACGGAAGTACTGCCAGCTCCACTAACCTCATCAACCTCATTTGAGTCTCTAGTCTGCTGAAGGCGAACAAGCGATGAGTAGAGGCCATTCTCATCAGCAATGAGCTCGTCGTGGGAGCCTAGCTCCTTGACCTCACCATGCTGCATGACAGCAATCATGCCAGCATTGCGGATAGTGGAGAGGCGATGGGCAATGACGAAAGTTGTCCGACCCAAGGAGGCCAGGTCGAGTGCCTCCTGTACGACACGCTCTGACTCTGTATCCAACGCACTGGTGGCTTCATCAAGGAGGAGGATCTTGGGTGACTTTAGGATTGCTCTGGCTATAGCAATCCTCTGCTTCTGCCCTCCAGACATTTGGACACCACGCTCACCCACCTGTTTTCATTTCGTATATGGTTAATATCAAACGATCGGAGTATGAACCACAACTTAGTTCACAACTTCACAGAATAAGGATGTTTTGGGGAAAAAATGAATAGCTTAAGATGAACTAGTTTCTTCATGAGCTAACACTATTTTAGAAGATATGTCTACCAGTCTGTGTGATAGTCATGCAGAACAATAGTAAAATATATTGATGCAGAAGTGACATGTGTGCTCTAGTCTGTTAATTGTTGCCATGCGGCTATGGCGTATCCTTGATTGACTATAAACATCCATCGTTGCCACTTCTTAGTTTATCTTTACCATTTAGCTCATTGTAGTCATATGGGTTATCCTATTCATCCATCCATGTAAAATTACCCTCCCTACATACTTTGCCTAGAAAATGGAACACAAAACTGCAAATGGCAGTTAAAAGTAATATGTGGCAAGGAATAAGCCAACAACTTGTGTTGATAAATATAAAAGGTATTGGCAGCAAATCTTTATTCTCATACTGGAAACCGAGTCATTTCAAGTATGAAATCAGGTTTGTTTTATCAATTTTTTGGCTGATTATTTGTTTTTCTGAAGCAATTATTCTACCATGTGGTGTCAAATGGTAATATATTTCCTCATATGTGCATGAGCTTTTCATAATCATTGTGTTGGGTCTGTATAAATAGTTAAAAACTGTTATGAACTGATCCTAGCAGGGGTTTTCCCATATTTTTTCTTTTTCTTCAAGAAAACACAAAAGACTTTTTCGTTTCTTTGCATTGAAAAGATAGAAGTTTGTTACAACCCTTCTAAGAGGCCTCCATTTGCCAAGTCAGAGGTAGTGCACTCTTCGCCATGTCTGGCAGGGCACCTGTAGGTAGCGCTCAAACTTGTACACAACTATTCTATCCAGAAATTAAATAATAATGCAAAAAAAGGCATGACTACGTATTGTGTGTCCCATTATGTCCCTTTTTTCTATGTTTCACATCTACTATCCGTGTGTGTTTCACCATAGTCTTAACATGTTATTAGGACGAAGCTCCACCAGGACGCACCATGAGGAGGAGATGGCTTGGAAGCCTAGATCTATAAAGCCAAAACCCTCTCACTTGGATGACCACCACACCAATGATCTTCTGTGCTGCGAAGCAACCTGCATCGAACTTCATGAGATTGTAAGGTACAAACCATCCCCGTAAAATTCAGCCCATCTAGTTTGATTTTTTCTCAAAAAAAATCACGTCTAGATCGAATCTCGTTATTGAACACATGGCCCACTGGATGTGAAATTCCCCCAGCCACCTTCCGCCAGATCCATGGCTGGTGGATGGCTAACCATGGGAGATATAGATGATTGTATGCCAAGGAAGTGGTGGACCGTGCATCATGTACACACTGTGGCAGTACATACACGGTTGATCTGTAAAATTGACCAGTGGATTGGTGCTGAAGGGACCGGCGTAAAACCCATACGTACCTAGATCAAACCGTATGTCTAAAAAACATCTAGGTCGAATAGCATCTGAGAAAAAAAAAACTCTCCAAGGGTCCACACCTGATGTGTATATTTTGTATCATGTTTCAGTAGTATTAATATTTTTGCACTGTGGTGATAAGATTTTTTTAGTATTTTACGGCTAGCTGTTGTTTTGCCCATTTCTCCGGATTTCAGTGTGAAATTTAAGAAGACTTGCAACATTTAAAGGAAAAACCCTTTTTCTTTGGAAAATATGAGGATTGGACGAATTGAGAACCTTCCAAAAGAAGACCAAAGCCAGCAGAGAAGAAAGCACAACCATCTGCACTAATAGAACATTTTTTCTTTTGTGCGAATTGGATCTGGAAATTTTATAGCCTGAACGCGAGGAAATAGTATAGTGAGACAACGGCCTGCAAAGATGAAATAACTATAGATTGTGATCAGTGCCCAGTAAATTATTTACCTGAGTGTCGTACCCTTGAGGCAGCTGGGAGATGAAGTTATGTGCATTGGCGGCCTTGGTGGCGGCGGTGACCTCCTCCGGCGTGGCGTCCTCTTTGCCAACTAGTATGTTCTCCATGATGGTCGTAGCGAAGAGCGCCGGCTCCTGGCTAACAAGCCCCATCTGCGCGCGCAGCCACTTGAGCCGCAGCCGCCGGATGTCCACGCCGTCCAGCGCCACCTCGCCGGCCGACGGGTCATAGAACCTCTCTAGCAGTGCCACCACTGTGGACTTGCCGGACCCGCTGCTGCCTACAAGCGCCGCCGTGCAACCTGCCGGCACGCGCAGGCTGAAGTTGGCGAAGATGGGGCTCTCTGGCCGCGATGGGTAGCAGAACTCCACGTTCTTGAACTCCACCTCACCGGCAACGTTGAGAAGTTCCTCCCCCGTGTCGCTGCCCGAGTCGATCTTGGGCACCCGCCTGATCACCTCCAGCACCCTCTCCCCCGCCGCGCTCGCCTCCGACAGGTACTTGAGGTTCGACAACCCCGACCCGAGTGCCCTGCTTCATTCTTGGTCGTTAACGGCGGCAGCAGCTACCATGGAGTCATGGACTTGGAAACAACGACTAATACTTAAGTAATTATTAGTGTTACGTACAGGCCACCGACGACGGCAGCGGCGGAGACCGCGGAGACGGTGCCGCCCTGGTAGCCATGGTACATGACGAGGCGGCTGCCGTACCAAACGCTGAAGGCCCAGATGGCAAAGGTGACGCCGTTGCTGCCGATGGTGATGCCCTTGGCGAGCCCTTGTTTGATCCCTAGTCGCGCCGACTCCCCGAGCGCCGCCGAGAACTGCACCATGGTGGCACGCTCCGCGGCGAAGGAGCACACGGTGCGCACGGACGAGATAGCCTGTTCGGCGATGGCACCCGGGCGCGTGTACTGCTCCCTGATCCGGCGTGCGAGGCCCATGAGGATGCGGCCGTACATGAACCCCGGGACGACGAGGAGCAGGATCGAAGGCAGCGTCACCAGGGTTAGCTGCCACACTAGCGCAAAGCCGGCAGCGTAGCTGCCAACGAAGGTGGCGGCGTTCATCACCAGGTTGGGCACCTTCTCGCTCAGCACATCCTGCACCACCAGGCTGTCGTTGGAGACGCTGGCAATCACGTCCGCTGTCGACCCCACCTTGAGGTCAAAGTACTCCACGTCCTGCCGGAGCACCGCTGCCAGGTAGCGTGCACGCATCCGCGACGCCTGCCGCTCCGCCGTCCGTGACCAGCAATACCCCTCTGCCGTGCACACACATCACATTCACATGTATAGTATAGTTACTGATTACTGATTTTGCTCCGCCAGCATCCAAATAAAATGAAATATTCTCAGTCTCACACTCACACTCTGTCACTCACCTAGGAACGCCATGACCCAGCTGCCCAACGCCAAGAAGACAAGGTTCCTCGCATTCTGTTCATTACTGGTCAAAGCTGCTACGGTTTAACAATGGGCACAGGTGTGTAGAATTTGTTTATGCGTACCTCGTCCATCTTGGAGCTCAACTCCTGGAGGTGTTCCGGGCCGCTGTTGCCGAGGTCGTTGATGATGAAGCCGGTGATGAGCAGCTTCACCGGTGTCGATAAGCCATCGCCGATGGCGCCCACCAGGCCCACCGCCATCAGCGCCATGTCCATGGCATCCGCGTGCATGAACACTGACATGACCGCCGCCTTCTTGGCGCCTGCTACGCCACCCATGCTGCGTGAACCTGCCAGCCCCTAGCTCGCTACCTAGTTTGGCTTGCTTTCTTTCTGTTGATCGAGCCGCAGCAGAGTTATTTACTTGATAGTTAGTACATCAAGAGCCGTCCAAATTATAAATTTGAAGCTTTGGTGAATGATTGCAATAGCACATTAGTTAGTAGTTAGTACAAAGTAAGCAGTCCACCTAACGACTTGCCGTCCGCATATATATAATGTCTGCATATAAATACTAGGACCATCATTATTACTCTAGTAGCCGTAGTAAATTTGAACTATTATTGGTGTTTCTATACTACGACCGAGGAGTTGTGATCGCTGTGGGAGGCACTAGGTGACTAAATTTTACTGTTTTTAATGTCACTCATTTTGTCAGTATACCGATAGTAACTGCAGGGCCAGTGGTTCAGCTTGGATGCCATCTCCTAAGAAACAAGAAAGAAACCCTGATGCTTTCCTTGGCTCCATCCACAAGCGGCAGCCGGCCAACCTGCCGCTTTCCATCCATGATATCCCGCATGCTCCAAGAAGATGATGATGCCTCAAATGCCACAGGAGGTAGTGCCTGTCCAAGGTAATGTGGTTTGGACTTCCAATCAAGATTCGCAGGCAGGGAGGCAAAACCACATGCAGCCATGGATTGGTGCAAACAGCGAGAGGATCCGAGGAAGGTTGACTATCATCCTGAGATTATTTGAGTACGATGTGTAGATGCGGTCGAGAGAATGCATGGATGACGCATCTCCAGTATCATGCGCTCTGTGGCTGCGGCGTCCTTGTATGTCCGCTAATTATGGAAACATGCTTGGACACTAAAACGTTCATCACGAGACACTATCCTTGGACCTCTCGTGATCAAAGCTTCAATTCATGTCTCTATTTATGCAATACGGAATAATTATTGTTATGGAATAATTTCTAGATGACAATGATTTTGCAACCGCAGATGCATTTTTTGTTCTGGCGAAGTTAGCTTTTGCATTCTTTGTATATCATCAAGGCACCATACTATTAATAGGAATTCATTCTCTCATGGGGATTCGTTTGCATTACACTGTTTTATTAGTTTGTTTGCATTATATTCTATATTTGTATGATACAAGGGTTGTGATTGTGTACCATATTTTGTTAATTGTACTACATGATAAGAAGGGCCAAGTGTGCCTTCTAATGCATGAACTGAATGCTCAAAACAGTGGTGTGCAGGCTGCTTTTTATCTGGAGTGTTAGCCTGTTAGAGGATGTGTGATATAGTTGCTCTCTAGCAACTACAGCAGTTCTTCAGCAGGTGTGTCAGTTTCCTCTTCAAACTCTTGCAGAATATGAGAAGACTTTCCAAGATTGCATCTATGTTGTCTGCTATTGGTTCTCTAGAGTATTAAGACTATCTAGTGGCTTGTTTCTGTCAATGTTTTGTTGGATACGACGTGCATGTTCAGGTGTTGCTGCAATATGCGAATAAGGTGTGTGTCTAAGTGTGTTCGAAGAGCCAGTACTCTAGCAGCTGCTGCTTTTGCATACATAAAATTTTGCATGCTACTCCCTCCATTTCAAAGTACTTGTCGTAGTGCTTGAACTAAAATCATGACAAGTTCCCTAAAAAAAAAGCACAACAAGTATTTTGAAACGGAGTGAGTAGTATGTTTCCATAGTTCTTGTTGCTTTCTATCTGTTAGAGAAGAAAGTTTTGGCAATGCAACTCGATGTATTGATCGGTGCATAACGCACGTATATATGGAGTACATAGTGGGCCTCGATATCAACTATACAAAGACTAGGAGGTGGGCCGAGATACCCAATATACATGCACAACCGTATATTCAAGACTATCCACAAATATCAGTTTGATACTCCCTCGTTTCACCTCACTTTATGATGTGTGCAAGTTTTTTGCCCATATTCTGAATGGTAGTGCCCACTTGCTTGTTTGGACAAAGACAGCCCTGTGGCTGGACATGGGCGTGAAACAGCCTCCTCTGCATGCGGGAGCCCTTTGCACATGGGTCTGGACAGAGTTGGTGGAGGGGTATAATGGTCCAAAGGACATGCGCCAGCGCATGCATTGGTATTGCAGCTCAACAAAGGGCGCACTACAATTAGGAATGAAGGGAGTATAATAATTTAGACCTCCAAGGAAACAACTCATGTGGAAATCGTCCTGTAGAAAAGGAGGGTGATCTCTTTTAACCAAAGAAACCCAATGTTCACACCTATTTGTGTATTCATCCACAGAAGAGGTTTATTGTACTGAATAGAAGTGTTTTACCTAACCTCTAGTATAGGCTATCCAGCACATAGAAGTCAATGTATATACATGAGCAAGTAGCACTGAAAATGAATTTGGCAAATACCAACAGACATCAATGCAAATTACACATAAAAATAGAAGAAGATTGAAAAATTATGAAGCCTAGAAAAATGAGTTCCACCCTCGCTGTTTTTTCTCTTTTTCTTCTTTGAGAAAAGGCTTATTTGGATTGTGGATGATGCTGGCTGATCCTTTCACCGGTCTGCGGAAGGTCGACGGGAGGCTAGAGCACAGCGTCGCCACGTCAGGTTTCGGTTGTTGGCTATGTTTGGTTAATTGAGGGCGATGCAGGCGAAGTGGGTGGGCGGCAGCATGCTAGCGTGCGACAATTCTGCAACCTGATGCACAACAATTAAGCATATTATTGATGCTATAATCGCTGGTGGGGGGAAATTCGATCCTGGTGCAGGCACAGACCCTCCATGCAGCTCTGAGCCATAGGATGATCGATGGATCCACGGATCTGAGCCGTTCCATGGACTTCGCGTCGTTCGCTCTGAGCCATAGGATGATCGACTGATTAGACACTAACGGATTCCGTCGCACCTACCCCCTTGGAGGTTCAAGTCCGAATCTTCTAACACCACAAAATTCAAAGCTGTGGAAATATGGTCTTACTGAAAAATCAGTATACAACAGCAAAGGAAAATCTAATCCAACGGTGATATGCTTCTCAACCTCACGTCGCCCTACCGATATGATTAGGTCAAACCCGGGTATCCTGGTCCGCACGCGCCATCTAACTCCACACGGCACGGTCGCAATCCTCTAGAACTCCGGCTCGTGCTTACTCACCTTCCGAGTTTGAACCGAAGACCATGCGACCCTGTAAAATCCCCAACCCCAACTTCCCACTCGATCACCAAACAAACAAGAATCCCTTCCTTCGTTTGACGAGCAGCAGCAATGAATCGTTCGTACCAGACTGCTTGATCAAAGCATCCGTCAGAGATCCATGGCGATGGAGAGGTTCTTCACGACGCTCGTCTTCTGTGAGGCGCCGCTAGACGGCTATGGCACATCGGTGCTCACCGCCGGCACGGTCAAAAGGCTGGTCTCTCGTGGCGGCGATGCGACCGAGCCGGCGGTGGCTAACAAGCCAGACGCTGAGAAGGAGCAGGGTTTCTTCTCTGGCAAGCCGACTTCCGAAAGGCGCGCTGCTTTCGAGCTTGCCTTCGACGGCGTCAATTGCTTCGACACCATGGTTATGCACTAAGCATGTTAGTTATCTTGATTGAATTTGAGCTGTATGTAAAAACTCGGATCAGTTAGAAATTACTAGAATGCTTGACGCGGACGTGGACTTGTGATTTTTTTTTGTTCATTCGATTGTATTGTACTGTTCGACTGGTCCATAAGCATCAGTACAAATGACAGGATCTTAAAGTGGATATCTAGTAGTATCAGTTTGTAGCTTGGGTTCAGAGTTTATGTAGATCACATCATATTCAGTCAGCCTGTGTTTCTGACTATATATCTTGCACACACTTGGCGGAGGAACAATGCAATTAAGAGGTGTGGCTCTGCTTAACACGATGTTGAATATCTTCTTCCGTCTCTTGCCTTCCGCCAGTCTCTACCTGAAAATTAGACACGCTCCCCCCTCCCCTCCTGCGTGGCTCTCGCGAATGACCGGGGGGAACCCTAGCCGCCCAACCCTGACCCCCTCTCCTCTTCCCTTCCTCCTCGCCGCCACCCAGCGACGCCGTCGGACGAAGCCCGGCCGGTGGTGGCAGCGGCGGGAGCCTCTTCTCCCCCATCGTGCACCATGGCTGGCGCGAGACGTCCGATCGAGCGGGGGCGCTGGGCTATGGCTGGGCCGGCGGCGTGCTCAGTGTTCGACGGCAGGGATGCCTGGTATGTTAGGAAATTGTGGGCTATGCGGTCTACCCTCTAATTCCTCTGCCTTTTCCGTGGTGCCGCTCACAATGCATATTCAGGCTAGAGGATAGGGACCTATTTATAGACTCCACTTCCAGGCGTTTTATTATTCCACCTGTTTCCGGAAAGATCCGTACAACTCCTGGGCAATGTTACCAACCACGATCAAACATGCCAGTTTTCTGAGTCTAAATATACGTCCCTAGCACACATGTGTGAGTCATGTGCCATGATTAGATTGTATATGTGAGATCAACTTCCAATATTAATCATGTGGGTCAACAGTCTGCAGAGCCGGTCCTGCAAAACAAACCCAGCTCTTCCACCCTGTGATGTCCCGTAAAAATGCGTACTTACATATAAATTCCAATAGAGTCGATCCCTATTAATTCCTCTATGGTATTCCATCACAGTCGTCCTCGGCACCTCGAATATTACTTCCTCGAGTGAAATTCCGTATCGGTTATTCCCCATCACAAACATCAATAATATGAATAATTCCAAGTTGATTTAAATAAATAATAATCACCTTGAATAAATGTTGAAAGCCACATAAATATCCAACATCTCCCACTTGGCTGAAACATATTAATCAATAAATGAAGTTCCATGTGCAAACATGTTTTGAAAAGAACTCCTGACTATTGTCAGTGAACCTGCACCGTATTAGTATTATTATACAATAAATGAAATATACGTACCTGAGTTTAATCATTTGACACCTTGTCTATACAATATATCTTCCTCAATTGTGTTTACTTTTAACCATAAACTTCAAAATAAGTGACAAGTTGTGATGCACATTCCA